TCATTGTTGATTAAACTATCAGAAGCCAAATTAGTTTTATCTCTCAACCAGCTGGTTGTTTTATTTCACTGATGGGCCTGAAATTCTGTGGCTATGCTGATTTCTTGTTATGGTGAACATCCCACTGCTCTGTTTTTGCACACACTTTATAGCATTTTCATTCATTTAACAAATGTTATGGCATTTAATATATTTTGGTCACTAGAGGAGGTACTCTCTCGGCAAATTTTAGTGTTGGAGGTCTCCTATTAAATAATCTCTGTGATGTCTGGGATTTTTAGGTCAGATTAGTAAATTAATTTTTGAAGAATTTAACATTATACTAGGATAAAATATTTACTTCTTTGAAGCTATTCTGTCAAAACAATAATTTGTGTTACTGTTGCCTGTGTATGTATTTGTGGAAGGCTAGCCAGATACCTCTATCCAAATATGAGACCCACGTTGGGAATATTCAAAGCCATGTGGTCTATTGGCACTAATGTAAGATATGTAGAATAAATAAATCTCTACCACAAAGAACTGATGCTTCTGTTTTTCTCTGTCCTTTAAAGTTCTAGAAGCAAAAACTTCAAAGGTTGAATATTTTACGACCTTAAAACTGAAAGAATGCTGTAGTGGGTCAGACCAGCCATGATTCACCCAGCCTAAACCTCAGAGCACTTTATTTACTTATTTTATTTTTGAGTCAGGGTCTCACTCTGTTGCTCAGGCTGGAGTGCAGTGGCATGCTCACGGCTACCGTAGCCTTGACCTGCTGGGCTCAGGCGATCCTCCTGCCTCAGCTTTCCAAGTAGCTGGAATTACAGGCGCATGCCACCACGCCCGGCTAATTTTTTATGTATTGTAACAACGAGGTCTTGCCAAATTGCCCAGGCTGGTCTCAAACCCATGGGCTCAGGCAGTCCTCTCATCTTGGCCTCCCAGAGTGCTGGGATTATAGGCGTGAGCCACTGGTGCCTGGTGTCACAGAGCACTTTATAGGGAGAGTATGGTTGTCCTTAAAAATGGCAGTCTCAGAGTCAAAGTGTTATACCAGTTTGAACCAGTAACAGTCTTTTTATGTAAAAGGATTCAGGAGGTAGAAGTTTACTGATTGTGGTTCAGTAGCACAAAGATGGACATATTTGCATTTTTATTTGGTCAAGGATTGCAGTTTTTTGGGTCTTTCTTTTGTCTCTCAAGATACCTAACTATATGTCTGCTTTCCAGGCAGTGTATAGCTATGAGAGGAAGGTAAGGATAAAAAGGCTCAGCAACTTTTGGATGTGTCTCTGGCCACTCCTGTATGCCGTGGAAAGAGCACTGGACTTGGAATGAGGGTTCCTGATATATCTTATTGTGGTTCATCTGACATCTGAGCTTCCATTTCTTCCTTTGGATAATGGGAATGAAATGCCTTCATTGTCTGTGCTTTATAGGCTTTTAATACAATCAGATGAGCAGTTGTATTTTAATGTATATAAAAGTACATTGTAAACAATAAAGCATTATACAGTTAAATATATGGTATTGTTATGATGCTCTTCTTCAAAATCAAACTTTATCTTCCCAACAGAATGAGCTATTGCTCCTGATTTTTTTTTTTTTTTGAGTTGGAGTCTCACTCTGTCACCCAGACTGGAGTGCAGTGGCCGCTCCCGGTCACCGCAGCCTCAACCTGCTGGGCTCCGGCGATCCTTCCGCCTCAGCCTTCCAAGTAGCCAGAACTACAGGTGCACGCTACCACGCCCAGCTAATTTTTGACTTTTTGTAGAGATGAGGTCTCGCCAAGTTGCCTAGGCGGGTCTCGAACCCGCGGGCTCAGGCAATCCACTCACCTCAGCCTCCCAAAGTGCTGGGATTACATACCGAGCCCGGCTAGCTCCTGATTTTTATAGTGAGTTGCCAAGTCTAGAAACCTGTCTTCTGGCTGCATCTGACCACCCTACATCTTGGGTTGTGATCATGCTCAGGCAATCCACTCACCTCAGCCTCCCAAAGTGCTGGGATTACAGACCCAGCCCGGCTAGCTCCTGATTTTTATAGTGAGTTGCTAAGTCTAGAAACCTGTCTTCTGGCTGCATCTGACCACCCTACATCTTGGGTTGTAATCGTCTTTGATATTATTGCCTTAGTATTTCTCCATCTTTGCCATTTCTGCTTTCCTCACTGCTACCCCTTGTTCAGGGCCTTATCACACTTCATACTTGGCTATCTCAATAGCTCTCTGAGTCAACTTCAGACCCTAATCCCTTTCCATCATATTTCTACACAGCCCTCATTTTTATTTTTTGGATATGATAGAACATGGGATTACTATGTCATAAGCTAGAAAATACTTTTCTGCTTTGGAGCATTGGCTTGTTTATATTTTTAGTTAGCAAACATTGTATATGTATGTGTACACTATATATAATATATATAAATATGTATATAGCTTAATTATTTTTGTTAGATTCCCGTAACATGAGTTACTGGGATAATGGATGGTTCTTTGAGACTTCTGCTTCATTTTCTCAATTGTTTTCCAAAGGATAATTCTAATACCTATGCCATGAACAACAGAATCCTGTCTATCATGAATGTATTATAACATTTCATAGTGCATGGGGATCAAAATATGATACCCCAAAATATACCACTTTGGCATATTGATTATTTTGAGTTGAAGGTATTGAAAAACAGCAGGTGCAAGAAGGGCACTTGGACCTTCCTTTTTCTTCCCAAAGGTAGGAGATAAAATATCCGTGTAAAAGTTGCCCTTCCTGTATTAGGAGAAAGAAAGAATATTCTTCTAACCAGAGACAGAGTAAAGCCTGTAAGAAATGTGTACAAGCAAACCTTGTTAAACTAACCCTTACCTTTTTAGTCACTTTTCCACAATTAAATAATTAACCCAACTCATTTGTCTTATCACATTTTCAAATTTTACTATTTGTCCAACCTAGTATATAAGTGTAAGACTCTAACTGCTTCTTTGGGTCTTCATTATTCCTGTGAGGTCTTCTGCGTGTGTGTTAAAATTACTAAATACATTTTTGTATGCTGTTCACCTGTTAACCTGGTTTAAGTCAATCCCAGCTGGAAACCCTGGGCGGGTCGAGGAGAAATTCTACCTCCCCTACAATAGTCTAGCAACATTTTAAAAATATGTAATGAAAAAAGGTAGATGTTTGTTTTCATGGACTTGGAAGCCAGGCACATCAAGTCCAGGAAGATTTGGTGCATTGCCATATAGTTAACCTTGTATTTAGATGTATAGACCGACCGGTATGGATGTAGACTTTGAATGTAAAGTTGTCATACATGTCAAAAGTGAAAAAACAACAATAAAAAACAACCCTCTTAAGGAAAAAGAGAAAATATTATTCCTGGTCACATAATGTTAGCCTTTAGAAGGCTCTTCGACTTGTAAAAGTGACTTAAACTTGGGGCTTGTTTTACATTGAGCCCTAAGGGTACGCTCTCTCTTCCTCACTCCATATATTCTTGACTTATGCCTTTTCTCTCTTAGCATCCAAGTGTTCTCCTCACTTGGGAGTAGTGACTGTGTAGAAACAGATTGTTCTCAAGTGCCAGCTACAGAGAAAGGGCTTAGAGCCTGTTGACTTTCACTGAGGGTTTAGGAAAGACTTCCAAGTTTTTGCCCTTCTTGTCTGAGAAAGGAGGCCAAACTGCTTGAAGTTTTCATTGTCTTTAAAAACAAGCCTTACATTTAGACAAATTATTATTCAAATTGTTTGATGAGTCCTTCCCCATCCCTCTTCCTTTTATCAGACAGTTTAGAAGAAGGTTGGGTAGGTAGAGGAATTTGGATTACTTAAGAGTTTGTCTTAATTTTTTTGAATTAAGTTGAATTACAGATGAAGTAACCAAGGTGGAGGGCTTAGCTGATTATTCTTGAGAATCACAAATATATGTTTTGAGCATCAGAGTATGAAGTTTTTTTTTTTAGAAAGCAGGATTTATTGAAAGGACAGAAAAGCTCCCACAGTGGGAGGGGACCCAAAGAGGTTGCCCAATATGAAGCATTTTTTTAATCCTCCCCAAAAATCTTTCCATCTTAAGATGTCTTTAGAGAGAAACTTATTTGTTCCTTTATTTAAAAAATACTAATCTTTACTATCCTACCCAGGATTAACATTTTATGATTCTGTGAAATTTATTGAAGTGTTTAGTAAATTGCAGTGTTGTTTGTGCAGATTTTCTGTACTGTTTACAGATGTAGTTGAAACCAAGGATCAACATTGATTGCCATCTTAGTACATCTTTTTTTCTTTTTTTTTTTGAGTTGGAGTCTCACTCTGTCGCCCAGACTTTCCGCCTCAGCCTTCCAAGTAGCTGAAACTACAGGCGCGCGCTACCACGCCCAGCTGATTTTTTTGTGATTTATTGTAGAGATGAGGTCTCGCTGCCCAGGCAGGTCTCGAACCCGCAGGCTCAGGCAATCCACTCACTTCAGCCTCCCAAAGGCACGGGATTACAGGCTGAGCCACCGAGCCTGGACAGTACATCTTTTATCCTTTTAAAATTGCAATGAAAATAATCTCTCCCTTTCCAGCTTGACTACTATATTAATCCAGTTGTCTTTTTGTCATAAATATAATGTATAGCAAGTAGAAGTCTTGCTGACTCTCTAGTGGTTCTGGAGGAGTTCCTATCAGCATTTCTTGCATGATCCTCTACTTAAGAGATAATAGTTTCTAAAAAAAATTGCATCTTTTTAAAGAAGTGGTTGGAAAGCCTTTTTTAACACTAAAGTTTCATTTTTGACATTGAAAATTATAATTATTTACCAACATTTAAACATCCATTATTTAACATGAGAAAAATCACTTAAGAACTATGACCTTTTGAACGCATGTATTTATATGAGCAGTAATAAACGGAGTGGAAATGCAGTGTAATTGCACAGAAAGATTTGTCATAATAGAAACAATATTATCTGTTTTTTCTTCATATCATATGAAACACATTTACAGTTCTTCATCTGTTGCTCTATTCGTTTCTCTTTCTAGGTGAACATGTCAAACCGTTTACACCAGAGAAAGCAAAAGAAATCATAATGTCTTTACAACAACCTGCGGTCTTCTGTAACATGGTGTTTGATTGGCCGGCACGACACTGGAATGCTAACCACCTTTCTGAAGTCCTTCATGGCAAGCAGATACGATTCAGAATGGGACTGAAAAGCACGGGCACAGGTAGGACTATAAGTAGTGTTTCTTCAGTTGCATTCCCATATTCTCAGCAGTGGTTTTTCTACATAGAGAATCCTTTCTTCCTCATCCTCTTTTTGACCACTCACTGTACAGACAGGAACATTTTTTTTGGAAGATTTGGAAGGACAGTTTGTTGTAAGTTTTTTTTAAAGACTAAATCTATAGCTTATAATTACTTACAAAATACATCTGTTCATGTATCATATATGCACATTGCTAGATATCGTGGTTCATTGAATGTGGTAGACAATGCGTTTTTGATAATGTGCTCTTATGTTCCCATGTGACTGAAAAACACCGATACTAATTCGAATTGTCCCGTACACTTTTTACTCAAGTAAAATGTGATCTTTTATTTGTGGCTCCAGGCACTATTTATAGTTGCATAATTACTTGATTGTAATTTTATCCCTCTGCTTTATTGACTGACCTGTATTGCATTGCACAAACATGAAACATACGTAAAGCTCAGGTTTTTACTCTCTTAAGGAAATAAATCTTGCCTGTTCACTCTTCCTCCCTGAAGACATCTAACATTTAGATTCTTTTTTTGGTCCCATTGCCAAGTAAAGCAATTACCATTAGCTCTAAAATTTAGTTAATATAAAGGAAAGAAACAGTGCTGTTTCTAATCCAAAAGAGTCCATAATAATTGTCTGGTTTGTAGTTTATTTCAATATGAGTAAGTCTGGTAGTGTAGAAATTCACAGTGTTTTAAGCATTGCTGTAATGTAGCTTACAAATATTTATTAATAGCTCGGAGGAGCTAGAAATTCCCCACCTTCTCTTCCAGCTGCTCCAAGCTTCTTTTTCTCATCTTGACCTTGTAGTATAGCGCATGGAATTACTAAGTTTTTGGTGTTTAGAACCCCCTTGTACTCCCGTGACAGATATAGCAGGATAATATACCTGGAATTCTTCAGCATCTCATTGTTATCACAGACCAAACTGTTCACTGTATTTTAAAATTAAATCTTAGGCCAACAGCAATAACATAAAAGTCAGGTTGTGCTTTTTCCTTCTTGATTTTGGTCAAATAAATTTGTCTCTCATTGAAGTGTCTATTAGACACTAATTTTGAAAAAAATAGGAATAGTAATTTTTTTACATCCTGGTTAGACTGAATACAACACTACTAATATCTAACATTTATTGAGAGCTACTGTGCCAGGCACTGTTCTGAGTGCTTTACATATACAGTATTAACTCTTTTAATTTTAAAACTTTCTTAGAACAGTACTGCTATTATTCCATTTTATAGATGATAACACAGTAATGTGACATTTTCAAGTTAACACTTAAGCGTAAAAGAAAAAGAAAGGAAAGCTTTTCTGTCATTGTAAGAAACTGCTCTGAGTTTTTAGTAAAGGTAATTTGTTCTTTTTTATTCAAACAAAATTTATATAACATAAAATTTAGCATGTTAACCACTTAAAAGTATGCAACTCATTGGTTGTTAGTATATTCACAATGTTATACAACCATTACCACTGTCTAGTTCCAGAACATTTTTATTATTCCATAAAGAAGCCCAGTGACCCTTAAAAAATCATTTTCCATTCTGCCTTAGCGCCAGGCTCTGTCAACCATTAATCTACTTTCTGTCTCTATGAATTTGCCTTTTTAGAACATACCATATAAATGAAATCATATAAAATTTGGCCTTTTGTGCCTGACTTCTTTCACTTAGTGTGTTTTCAAGATTCATCCATGTTGTAGTATGTATCAGTACTTCATCTTTCTAGTGTTGACTAATAGTCTGCCATATGAATATGTACATTTTGATTATCCACTCATCAGTTGATGGACATTTGAGTTGTTCCACTTTTTGGCTATTACAAATAATGCCACTTTGAACCAAGTGTTCAAAGTGGCATTATTTGTAATAATTTGGTGGATATATATTTTTTTCATTTATCTTGGGTATATCCCTAGGAGTATAGTTTCTGGATCATACAGTAACTCTATGTTTAACCTCTCAAACTATTTTCCAAAGCAGCTCCACCATGTTATATTCCCACCATCAGTGTATGAGAGCTCCATTTTTTCCAACATCCTTGCCAACACTTGCTCTGTTTTTTTTTTATTATCATCCTAGTGTATGTGAAGTGTTATCTCACTGTAGTTTTAATTTGTGTTTCTCTGATGACTAATTATGTTGAGCATGTTTTCATGTGTGTATATTGGTCATTTGTATATTTTCTTTGAAGAAATATCTATTGAAATCTTTCACTCATTTTCTAATTGAAGTTTTTGTCTTTTTCTTGTTGGATTACAAACGTTCTTTATGTATTCTGGATACTACCTGTATCAGTTATATGACTTGCAAATGTCTTATCTCATTCTATGTGTTGTCTTGATAATTTGTTTTTTTTTAAAGTTATTTCTGAGTATTAATGCAATACATCCACAGGCTACCTAGGGTAATGGTGTAAGAGAGCTGACTCTGGAGTCAGCCTGCATGGGTTCAAATTTTGGTTAGCCATGTCTTTGGGCAAATCAATTAACTTTTCTGTATGTTAGAAATATTTTCTTGTTTTTAAATTTAATTTTAAAGACGTGGTGAATAATTCAGGATTAGGTATACAAGTGGTCATTGTACAGGTAAAGTCTGTGCCTCCCTTTGGTCTCTGTTTCCCCTGGTTTGAGATCAGGTACCCTTATTGATGTTTTGTGTCCCCCCAAATATTTTCAAGATTAAATGCTTTCATATGCATAAAGCATTTAAAATAGTGCCTAGCACATAGTAAACGCTCAAGTGTTGTTTTAAAATAGAAGTAATTTTAAAATAAAAAGTATGACTTCTTCACTATAGGAAATATTGAAAAATGGAAAGTCCCAAGGAAATTGAAAAGCACCTGTCCTACTATCCAGAGATAATTACTAGTTATATTTTGATGCATGTTCATGCAGGCCTTTTTGTAGTTTATATTATAAAAATAAAGTTGTATTATTTTTCACAACCTGCCTTTAAAAAAAAACATTCTGGCCGGGCTCGGTGGCTCAGCCTGTAATCCCGCCTGCCTTTGGGA